GCCCCCAGCCCAGGCCCCACCGCCCGCCCGGGCCGCGTGTCCTTCGCTTTCCGCGGGACCTCCTGGGGACCCGGGAGTGCAGACGCGACAACGGACACGCACTGGGCGCCCACCCCCTCCCGGGGCCGCGGGGGCTGCATCCGCCTTGCGCTCCCCAGCCCGGGGACGCGCCTCTGCACGGCTTCCAGAGGGGGCCTGGGCCTCGGCCAGGCGCTGTCCTGAGGCCTCGGTCTGCCAGTCTGTGGGATGGGCGCGCGGCTGATGCTGCGGCCCTGGCAGGTGGGAGCTGAGGGGTCCGGAGATCGGTGGCCAGTGGGGTGGGGCTGGGGCGGGACCCCACGTGAAGGACCACGGTGATCGATCGGGCAGAGGGCCTTGAAGCTGCGTGGCACTGTTGGGGGCTGTCAGGGAGCACAGGGGCTGCCTCCAGCTGCACACGTCCAGTGCTGCACGTGACCGATGAGAGAAGAGGGGGCTGGAGCCGGTCCTCTACCTTCCTCCAGGTACCTGGATTCCAGGGGGACGTGTGTTCTGCACACAGAAGGCGCTCCATAAGAGCCCAGCAAGGGTAGCTCACCACGCAGGCTGTCACGGGCCTCGGAGAAGCCTGGAAACCTCCTTTCCAACTGCTGGCCCCGTGCCCCTCTCACCTGCCCAGGGCACTGGCACAGAGAGGAGCCTGCCACCACCTGGCCCACCTGGCCCACCTGGCCCCTTCTCCTTCTGTCCCCAGCCAGCACAGACAGAGACTGTGCTGTAGTGCGCCTGCTTGAGGCAGGACCTTTATCCAAGAAACCAGAGCCCAGACACAGGCTGGTCAGAGGTCAGGTGAAGAGCTGCACCCAAGTCTCCTGGGGTTCTGAATCTCTGAGGATTCAAGCTGCCTACAGTTCCTACATGCCCCGGGGGCAGGATGACCGGCTTATCCCGCAAAGTGATGCTTTGGGGAGTGAAGGGGCAGCATTTATGATGATAGAGACCGTGCACACTCGCAGCCACCCTCAGGGAAGCAAGACTGAACCCCGCAACAGAAAGGAGACTGTTGTCCTCCCCAGGTGGCCCTGAGCCTGTCCCTGCAGTCACCAAGGGCGGTGACCACAGGGGTGTTTTCTGCTCTTCTGCATAGTGCCTAGTTCACCTGCAGGGCTGTGCATGGCAATTCTCTCCTGCATTTTTACGGGACCGGGGGCTTGCTGCCTCGCCTGAGTGCTGTGCCCACGTGGGGGTGGCACGCAGCACCGGCGTCCCTCCCTGCCTTCTCCCTTCCTCTCTCTGAGTGCTTGCCCCTGCAGAGGGTGCATGCAGTTCTTGCAAACCCACTGAGGGGGGACCTCACAATTGGCTGGGGTCAGGGTGTCAGGGCACCCACCTTCCTTGGCAAAGGAAAGGCTCTGGACGGGTGGACTGAGACCTGCTCCTTCCCTGGTTCTGCCAGCACCTTCCTGCCTTGGGCCTCAGGTTCCCGGGCTGGACCATGGTGGAGTGTGATGGGGCATTTTCCAGGCACTTGTGGCTGGGGTAACTAATGAGTTGTTGGGGACTGGTGGAGGGCACAGGGGACATGGGGGACAGGAATTGTCTTCTGATTCTGAGACTGGGGAATGTTCCTCAGTGTCCCTGGGGCAAGAGGGCGTGAGGAGTCCCCAGCTGTTCCCCAGGAGCCAGATTCTGGGGGAATCAGCCAGCTTGGGGACAGTGGATGCTTCTGTGGTGTCCTCCGCTGGGTCACTTTTAGGACTCGTGAGAGAGCTGGTGTGGATCCTCAGATAGGCAACCTGGAGCACGCTGGAGGTCCCTGCAGGTGGTCATCTGGAAGGGTTTGATCCGATCCTCTCTGGGGCAGGATCTACCTCTGCCCTGGGTGGACCTCTTGTCCCCTTAGGTTCTGGGCTGATGACACTGGGGCTGTGTGGTCACAGGCAACCCCCCCCCACACACACACACACAGTGGCCCAGACCAAACCACAGAGCTTGGCTGCTCAAATTCAATGGCTCTAGTTGGGAAAGGGTGTCAGAGTCCCCAGGGTTGCCCAGGCCAGCATGCGAGGCCTTCGCACTGATCCAGGGAGTTCACCACTGACACTTGAATGTGCAAGGGCACCGGGCCCATCTGCAAATTATATAGTTCCTCTGTCCAAATGCCAGAAAAGCCTAACTCTGGGCTTTTAGAAACAGACTCGATGCCACAAACCTACCTCTTCAAGCCACTGCACCTGGGGGCCTAGGGTTCACATGGGAAGGCAGGCATGACTCAGGCAGACCCGGTCCCCACTGCCCAGCAGCTCCTTCCCGCTTTCCTGGCCTCTACTGTCCTCATCCATAAAATGTACTCAACGGCAGCTTCCTCTGCAGCCAGTGAGCACAGAAACAGTGTCTGCTTGGCTGCCACAGGCACTCTGACAGCGCCCGCCACTGAGCCCACATTGCCCAGGCGGTTGCCAAACAGGTGCCAGGTCAGATGTGCCTGCACCCATGCTCTGACGGAAGGAAGCCTGAGGAATTCAGCAGAGGGGGTGCACGTGGGTGGTCCTCATTACTCGGCTTGAGGAAGCGGCTCCCATGGGGAGGAAGGCAGTCCCGGCAGGGGCGCAGTGTGGGCGAGGTCTTAGCCTGGCTCCCCATCCCCTCCAGTACTCCCCGCTGCTGAAGAAACTCTACTGCCAAATCGCCAAGACATGCCCCATCCAGATCAAGGTGTCCACACCGCCACCTCCAGGCACCGCCATCCGGGCCATGCCTGTCTACAAGAAGGCAGAGCACGTGACCGACATTGTGAAGCGCTGCCCCAACCATGAGCTCGGAAGGGACTTCAACGAAGGTGAGGGCCCCACCAGCCCCCCAGGCCATGGTGGCACCATGCTCAGCTGCCTGGGTGCCCCAGTGGGACGGGGAGTGCTGGCTCGGGCTGTGAGTGGGGGCTGCTAGCATGGGCTCAGCCATCCCCTCCCCAGGGTGCTCCCTCGGGGCCTCATTTCCTGCCACCTCTGACTGGGGCCATGGGGACCGATGCTGCAGGGCAGGGCAGGTGGTCGGGGAGGAGTCTGAGGGGCCAGATGGCTTTCGGGGGCCCAGGGAGCCTGCGTGGAGTGGCCCCTCTCTCCAGTGTGTGTGGCAAGGTCTATGGGCCACCCTGGGGTGTAAGCAGGAGAGTAGGGGAGCAGAGTCCCTGGGCCAGGCACCCCGGGGGGCATGAGGGCTGCCCGCCAGCCTGAGCCTCAATGGGGAGGCCGTGGGGCCAGGCATGTGATCCCCCATCTGCTGCGATGCGCCTGCCCAGGGGTGGCTGGACTGAGGCTGGGCACCTCCCTGAAGCGGTGACCCCTCCGGCAGGACAGTCTGCCCCAGCCAGCCACCTCATCCGTGTGGAAGGCAACAACCTCTCCCAGTACGTGGATGACCCCGTCACTGGCAGACAGAGCGTCGTGGTGCCCTACGAGCCCCCGCAGGTAGGCCAGGGGCCAGGCCGGGGCACGGGGCCCCTGGAGTCAGCTGCACAGCTGGGGTACCTGGGGCAGAGGCCCCCGTCTCACTTCCCGGTGTCTCTCCAGGGGTTTCTTGCTCTGAGTTAAGTCCAGGTGCCATGGGCCTCCTTCCCCATCCACACGGACCCTCCCCCTCCCGCTCGCTGGCATCTGGTTCACGACCACCTACTGTGCGCACCGCTGGCTCTGTAGTGGGGGTCTTCAGCCCTGCCCTCCTCTGAGAGTCTCCTCCGCTCACCTGTCCATTCCCCACACTGGTCCCAACCTAGGGCTTCCGGACCCCGAGGCTGAGTAAGCCGGGAGGTCCCAGCCCCCTTAGGCTCTGCAGACTGGCTGAGACAGGTGGGAACTTCTATGCCGGGGACTGTGGGATCTGGAAGGGGCCCCAGGCCAGGCCGGGGTCCAGTCAGGGTCCTGCAGGAGGCTGAGCCCTGGACGCAGCAGGGAGGAGAGGGAGGCCTGGGGCGAGGAGAGAATCGCAGCAGGGCGCCCCTGCAGGGGCCTGGGGGAGGGGCTGCCAGAGAGGCTGTGGGGACTGACCTTTGACCTAAAGGCAGCAGAAGGTTCTGGGGCTGATGTGGGTTCCGGCTGAGGTGAAAGTCTGGCTGAAAGGAAGCAGAGGGTTTGAGAGACGTGGCAGGGCATGGGGGACGGGGTCAAGGACAGGAAGGGAGTAGGCACCAGGCTTCCCAGGGTCAGCAGGTGGGTGGCAGAAAGCCCCCCCTTTTCCTGCGTCCACTTTTGTGAGCAGGCCCCCAGGCCCCCACCCCACAGTCCTCTGAGAGCAGCCTTTTACATCAGCAGGGCCAGGGCCAGGAGGGTGTGCCCGTCTCTCCCCAGGGCTCCCCCCAACTGTCCCCGCCCCCGCCTGCCAGGGAAGCAGGCTCTCTCGCCCCCTGGTGGAGGCTCTGTGCCAGCAGTTCTGAGAAAGGCCAAGGTTTTCCCAAACCAGTGGCTGTCTTTTGTATCCTGACCCAGGGAGATCATGAAAACTGCCCATCCTGTGGTTCCTGGACAGCCAGTGGTTGGTGGCGGTCAAGCGTCCTGGGTTCACATCTTGGCTGTGCCACAAACTTCCTGGGAAGTGGGAGTGTGCTGTGGGGTAGGCATGCACTGGGGACAGCCCCGCTCCCTCCCTCTGCCAGAGCAGAACCTCAAACCCTTCTGCACAGACAAGCTCACAGCAGGCAACACACGCATGTGCCACAGAGGCCTGTGCACATGTGCACTCATATGTAGCCTCTGGGATCGACCTCCAACCCGTGTCAGGGGAAATGGTCAGGGCAGCCAGACCACAGGAGTCTGTGCTTCCTGAGAGCAGAAATCAGGATTGAGCCCTCTGAAAACCCAGAGCCGACAGAGTGCTTGGCCCTCAGTGCCCTGTATAAACAGATGACGGACAGATGACGGCTGGATGGATGGGTGGGTGGATGGAAGTTCAGATGGCGGCTGGGTGGTGGGCGGATGGATAGGTGGGTGGATGGATGGATGGGTGGATGGATGGATGGGTGGATGGGTGGATGGGTGGATGGATGGGTGGGTGGATGGGTGGATGGATGGATGGGTGGATGGGTGAGTGGGTGGGTGGATGGGTGGGTGGATGATGGATGGATGAATGGGTGGGTGATGGACGGATGGATGAGTGGTGGATGGATGGATATGTAGATGGACTGATGGTTGGGTAAGTGGATGGATGGATGGATGAATGGGCAGGTGGGTGGGTAAATAAGTGGGTGGGTGGATGATGGATGGATGGGTGGACAGCTGGGTGGGTGAATGGTGGATGGATGGGTGGTGGGCAGATGGATAGATGGTGGGTGGGTGGATGGATGATGGATGGATGGATGGATGGATGGATGGGTGGATGGGTGGGTGGGTGGATGGATGGATGGGTGGATGATGGATGGATGAATGGGTGGGTGATGGACGGATGGATGAGTGGTGGATGGATGGATATGTAGATGGACTGATGGTTGGGTAAGTGGATGGATGGATGGATGAATGGGCAGGTGGGTGGGTAAATAAGTGGGTGGGTGGATGATGGATGGATGGGTGGACAGCTGGGTGGGTGAATGGTGGATGGATGGGTGGTGGGCAGATGGATAGATGGTGGGTGGGTGGATGGATGATGGATGGATGGATGGATGGATGGATGGATGGATGGATGGATGGATGGATGGATGGATGGATGGATGGATGGATGGATGGATGGATGGATGGATGGATGGATGGATGGATGGATGGATGGATGGATGGATGGATGGATGGATGGATGGATGGATGGATGGATGGATGGATGGATGGATGGATGGATGGATGGATGGATGGATGGATGGATGGATGGATGGATGGATGGATGGATGGATGGATGGATGGATGGATGGGTGGGTGGGTGGATGGATGGATGGGTGGATGGGTGAGTGCATAGGTGGATGGATGAATGGGCAGGTGGGTGGGTAAACAGGTGGAGGGGTAGATGGATAGATGGGTGGATGGATGTCAGAGAATCACAGAGCATAGGGAACGTCTATGCCTACCCAGAGCCAGAACCAGGTGTGGGGGCCGGGGTCTTCCACCTCAGTGGTTTGGGGCCTGTGTGCCGATGCCAAGACCTCTCTCTGCCTCCCCTGTGTGCAGGTGGGGACAGAGTTCACCACCATCCTGTACAACTTCATGTGTAACAGCAGCTGTGTGGGGGGCATGAACCGGCGGCCCATCCTCATCATCATCACCCTGGAGACCCGGGAGTGAGTCTGTGGGGCAGGTGGGGGTGAAGATGGGACAGGGACGTGGGCCAGCGCTGCTGGCGGCTTGTCGTAGAGATAGGAGGCAATAGCCAGTGACTGGCACCAATCCTTGGGGGTGAGATTGGGGAGGGGGCTCTGCAGGCTGTGCTGCTGGGAGGGAGGGAGCCGCTCCCCCTGGGCTGCAGGGGCCGCTGGGGCAGGCGCTGGGCTTGGGAGAGAGGCAGGGGCTCCTGGGCTGATATCTCAGAGCAGCTCGCAGCTTGGGGCCTGGGGCTCCCTCTGGCTGGAACGCGTATGGGGCTCTCAGCCCCTGCTTACTCGGCCCCTCAAGGCCAGTCCTGTGGGGTCCGTAGTGTGGGGGAAGGGTGGGCCCCAAAGCTCACGGCTTTGGCTGTGCCCACCTGACAGTGGACAGGTATTGGGCCGCCGGTCCTTCGAGGGCCGCATCTGTGCCTGTCCCGGACGCGACCGCAAAGCTGACGAGGACCACTACCGTGAGCAGCAAGCCCTGAACGAGAGCACCGCGAAGAACGGGGCTGCCAGCAAGCGCGGTGAGCGGGGCCTGGTCACAGGGCATGGGCGGGCAACCCCAGCCACACCACAGGACAGAGCTGGACGTGCCACCAGGGCTGGGGTGACGTGTCCCAGGGACTGAGCCAGCCTCTGAACAGCTCCTGGCCCAGAGGCCTCCCTGGCGGAGCTGGGCGAGGACTGTCCCCCTTATCCCTGAGCCTCAACCAGAGGCCCCAGCCCGTGTGGCAGCCCTGGTCTGCCCATCGGGTGGGTTCCTTGCCCTCTGTGTGTGGCCTGCTCCTCCAGCCGGTTCATCGGCCTTCCCTGCCTGGCCTTCCAGCATTCAAGCAGAGTCCCCCTGCCATCCCTGCCCTGGGCGCCAACGTGAAGAAGAGGCGGCACGGGGACGAGGACGTGTACTACATGCACGTGAGTGTGTGCTCTCGGCGAGGCCCACGATGGCCACACCTGCCTGGTCCTGTTGTCTGCAGGGAGGAAACCCAGAGGCCACCAGGGGCAGGTGGGGGCGGCCGCAGCACTTCCCAAGAGCTGAGACCCTTGGCCATGTTCCCTGAGAGCCAGACCAGACGGGGCCCGACTGCAGGAGGTCCCCAAAGTGCAATTTACAACAAAGTCGCAGTGTAGACATAACATTTGGCATGGCACAGAGTGCCCCCAGGGTGGAAATGCAGTGAAAATCTCATAATCATGCAGGGGGCCAGCAGGGTGGTTTAGGCCTCCCTCCCCTGGAAGGTCCTTACGTGGGCACGGCTGGGCACGTTCTTGATGCTGTGAGTCTGGCAGGCTGTGTCGCTGCAGCCCAAGTTTTTTGACTGTCACGTGCATGACCACGCTAGCTGGTGAATTACATACCCCACATTTGTGATAGGATTCTCCTTCCATGATGTGAGCTTTTAATTTTCTGAGTTCTTCAATAATGAGCCCCTCATTAAAAAAAGAAAAAAGTGTATCTGTTGGTGGGGGAGGAAGAGGGAGCCACAGCTCAGGGGCAGGAAGGCATGGACAGGAGACCTGCCCACCAGGTCAGGAGCCCTGGTCACACCTGCTCCTGGGGAGGAGGAAAGAAAGCCGGCGGATCCTGAGCCTTTGGGATGCCAGGGAACCCCGAGAAAGGAGAAACGCTTTGCTGCAAGCCCAGGGTCCCCGAGGCTGTGGCAGTCCCTCCCACGGGTGTCTGGGGCCAGGCAGAGTCCCGCATGCACCCAGGCAGAGGCTCTGCCTCTCGTGCTCAGGTGCGAGGCCGGGAGAACTTCGAGATCCTGATGAAGCTCAAGGAGAGTCTGGAGCTGATGGAGCTGGTACCACAGCCACTGGTCGACTCCTACCGGCAGCAGCAGCAGCAGCTCCTGCAGAGGCCGTGAGTCACCCCACCCACCCCTGGTCCCGTGTCACACCTCAGCATCTGGGCGGGAAGGGTGGGACAGTGTGCAGCCTGGCAGGCAGGAGGCCAAGTGCACAGTGCCCCTCCAGAAAGTATCGCCTGCCGGGACGAACACCGAGGGCCAGGGGAGCTCAGAGGGAAGCTTCCAGAACCTCGGGCCACCTGGAACCCCAGGGCATCACCTCCACTATGCCTCTCCCACCAAGGGGCCCCGTAAACGTCTGCTGAGCAGGAAGGGGAGGACAGGGTGGTCGGAGTGACACCAACCCACCAAGACCAGAAGCCGAGTCCAGTGGGAGGGGCTGCCCCTGCTCCCCCAGCCCATCTGCTCCCCTGGGGAGCAGGCCCAGGGGCTATGCTTGGCCAGAGTCGTGGCCAGAGAGCCAGGTGAGGGTGAAGCCGCTCTCAGACGTCTCTGGGAGGGGTCAGGGTCTCTGTCCATTCCTGGCACAGGGGCATTCTGGTTGTCTGTGGATGGGGCCAGGTGGGGATAAGGCTGCCAGCTTCCTACTCACACGAGTCTTGGCTGTCTGAGCAGGAGCCACCTGCAGCCTCCGTCCTACGGGCCCGTCCTCTCGCCCCTCAACAAGGCGCACGGGGGTGTCAGCAAGCTGCCTTCAGTCAACCAGCTGGTGGGCCAGCCTCCCCCCCACAGCTCGGCCACCGGGCCCAACCTGGGGCCCATGGGTGAGTCTGGGCAGTGGGGGCCCATGGGTGGGTCAGGGAGGTCCAAAGAGTGGGCCTGGCTCCAGACACTTGGCCATGCTCCGGACCCGCCAGCAGGAGGCTCGGCCGGGGATGGTCCACTCTGCCCATTTCCTGATCCCAGGAGGGTCCATGGCTTGTGGGAGGCAGGTGGTGTGGCCAAGAACATGGACCCCACACCCCTGCACCGCCTCTTGGCAGCTAAGGGAGTGTGGGAAAGGTCTTACCCTTAGAGCCTCAGTTTCCCCATCAGCAAAGTGGCGATAAGAGTGCCACACTCACTCACTGTGACGATTCAACGATGTGAGACCGCATCAGGGGCCCAGGACATGCAGGCAGCTCAGCGGGGTGGAGTGTGGGTCTCCCTCCCCTGGAAGGTCCTTACGTGGGTGCGGCCAGGCACGTTCCCGATGCTGCGAGCACCGCACCCCCCCACTGTGCCCCGAGTCCCCAGTGTCAGAGCCCCTGGGACGCGGTGCGTGCTCAGTGCAGGCTGCGCTCACGCTCGGTACCTCGGCGCCTCGTACTTGCTGTTGCCCTCTTTCCGTACTGCGTGGAGCGAGAAGACGAGCCGGGCGGGCGTCATGACACCAGGCTCGGGGATGGCCAGCCGGCTCTGACAGGCGACCTGCCCTCTTGCTCAGGCCCCGGGATGCTCAACAGCCACAGCCACGCCGTGCCGGCCAACGGCGAGATGAACGGTGGCCACAGCTCCCAGTCCATGGTCTCGGGGTCGCACTGCACCCCACCGCCCCCCTACCATGCCGACCCCAGCCTTGTCAGGTATGGGGGCTGTCGCTGGACTCAGGCGTGTGCCTGTCACCCTGTCCTAAACCTCGGCCTGTGTGTGGCTCCTGCCCTTGGGAGCAGCGTCTGCATGCTGCCCTCTCCTGTCCTGTCCTGTGTGTTAACCTCTGTGCTACCCCGAGAACAGAGGCAGAGAGGCCTCATGCCAGGGCTGCTGGACAGATGCTCAGGGAAACGGTTCTCTTAGAAAGCCAGGGGTCTTGGCTCACCCACCCCAGTTGAGCACATCCCTGTCTCTGAGGGAGCCACAGGTGTGCACACGCTGCGGCAGCCGGTGGGCAGTCGAGTGACCAGGAGCCGCCCCTTAGGAGGCCGATCCCACCCCAGCCAGGCCACCCCCAGCGAGGCGTGATCACACGGCCCCCGCACTCAGAAGTTAATGCTGCTTTATTTCTCAAATTCTCTCTGCAGTTTTTTAACAGGATTGGGGTGTCCAAACTGCATCGAGTATTTCACCTCCCAAGGGTTACAGAACATTTACCACCTGCAGAACCTCACGATCGAGGTAAACGCCCCGGGCGGCCCCTCCCCACACTGGGCAGGTGCAGTCCCGAGCCCCTGCCCCACAGAGGCAGCGGTAGAGGGGCCCTGTCTGGAAGGCACAGAGCTTTCTCTTCCTCTGGGGCGGTCACTCCTGTGGCTGGGAAATTTGGAGAATCTTCCCGTGGGCAAGCAGACTTGACATCCTCAGCATCTGACTCCTGTTCTGAATGGGCTCTGAAGAGCACATCCAGCTGAGCGAGCAGTGGGCCGGCTCCGTGCCGTTTACATGGGGGAAACTGAGGCCCAGGGAAGGCGAGTGGCTGGCCCATAGCCACACAGCTCATCGTACACAAACGGCAACTGAACGTTCTGTGTCCAGAGTGCGTGGGGCTGGAAGGATCTGGGAACTGTGGCTTGTCTTTGGGTTAAAGAAGACAATGCGTGGACCGTACACAAACGGCAACTGAACGTTCTGTGTCCAGAGTGCATGGGGCTGGAAGGATCTGGGAACTGTGGCTTGTCTTTGGGTTAAAGAAGACAATGCGTGGACTAGCCCCAAGGACGTGCTTGTAGCCTGGGATGGCCTGGAACCAGTGTCCTATGAGCCACGGAAAGAGCAAGCCTTGAGAGGGACACAGCAGTCAGCCCGTGATCCTGTGGGGGCTCCAGCCAGGGCCTCGGACCCCTCTGCAGTCCCTGTTGCCCAGCCAGCCAGTTAGGCCCAGTCAGAGGCCCGACCAAGCTTGTCCCCAGCCCAGGGCCGCAGGCCAGAGACAGGGTTTGTCAGAGGGAGTGGGCCAGCTGCTCAACCCGCTGTCCCCGAGGTGTCCCAGCTCACTGAGGCGTGGCCAAGTCTGTGTGTCCACTAACTGCCCACCTGCACCCTGTCCGCAGTGACGTGTTAACCCTCACCTCACCAGTGTGGTGCGTGTGCTTAGCATGGTGCCGGGAGGGTGCTGGGTGCTTGGGGATGAGGTGGGGGTCAGCTCTCAACCAACAGGGGGACCAAGGAGCGGCCCTGCCCTGAGGCTGAGTGGCAGGAGGTCCTCCAGGCCTGTGTGGACGCCCAGGGGTTCCATCTGTCTCTGACTGTGGTCAGGGCCCAGGCCCCTTGCAGCCCCGGGAGTGGCCTCCATGGCCTCTGCCCCCCAACGCTTCCCCCCATGTCACTTCTCAGCTCTCCTGCTACCTGACAGGGGCCCCAGGACTCTTGTGGCCAGACCACCACATGCAGCATGGGCCCGACCCTGCCTCTCCTTCCAGGACTCTCCATCTTCTCTGCCCACCATGCTATTGCCTTCCAGGATGGCACTGCCCACTGGGGCAGGGTGGGCCCTTAGGCCAGACGTCCCTGGGGGGAGGGCAGCCGGGCTCACCTCTCCTGCCCCTAACGGGTGGCCGGCGTCACGCTCTTGCAGGACCTCGGGGCCCTGAAGATCCCCGACCAGTACCGCATGACCATCTGGAGGGGCCTGCAGGACCTGAAGCAGGGCCACGACTGTGGCACCCAGCAGCTGCTGCGCTCCAGCAGCAGTGTGGCCATCGGCGGCGCGGGGGAGCTGCCGCGACAGCGTGTCATGGAGGCTGTGCACTTCCGCGTGCGCCACACCATCACCATCCCCGGCCGCGGCGGCCAGGGCGCCGGCCCTGACGAGTGGGCGGACTTCGGCTTCGACCTGCCCGACTGCAAGGCCCGCAAGCAGCCCATCAAGGAGGAGCTCACGGACGGCGAGATCCACTGAGGCCCGCCCGGAGGAGCACGGGCCGCACTTCCTCTCCTCCTGCGTGTCATGGGGAGGCGGGAGCTCCGGCCTGTGCCCAGGGAAGGGCCAGGTCTGGTCATCCTTCCACTCGCACCCGGCGCTATTTCCAAGGGGACGTCGCTGGCCTTCTCAGGCCCTAGGAGATGCCCTGTCTCTGGAGCCACCATAGATGGCCTGAATCACCTGTAGGAAGCTTCTGGAGCTGCCCTGCGGGGTGCTTGCCAGGGCTGGGCCCAGCCGGACGCTGAGCTGAGGCTGGCCTGCACTCTCTGCCCTGTCACTGTCCCGCATGGGCTGGGAGCGGCAGGTGCGGGGGACAGCAGCCTCATTTTCCTTAGGGACTCTGCTATGTCCCCACCGAGTGAGATCCTTCTGAATAAAAGGATCGTCTTTGCTGACAGACTGCCAAAAAGTATTTCCCAATGTGTTTTGGTTTGGGGTGGCAGTGAGCAGCCAGGTGACTGTATCTGAAACACATTTATTTTCAGTTTAATGTCCCAAACTGTGTCCCCGCCCAAGGCGGGGGCCGGGGCTCCCTCTGCTGGACTTGAGGACCCGCCCGTGTCCCTAGCACACTCCACTCTGCAGGGACTGCCTCTTTTCTGCCTAAGACAAAGTTACAAGTTTTGCTGAATTTGAGAAGATGGGGCAGGAGGCTGGGCCCCTCCTGGAATGTGCAGAAGCTTCTGGTATTAGCCTCGGCCGATGCCCGAGAGCACCACTGGCTGCAGTCGCCTCCCTTCGGTGACCTTAGGGACAGCATGTTCCTTAGACTACTGGAAATTGTCAATACTTGATAAAACCATACCCTTTTCTACATGGTGGGTCAGGTTTTGTTTTGTTTTAACTTTCACTCTCAACATTCCCTTCAAAGTTCAACCAAGTGTCAAAAAGCAGCGCTAAGACAAAGCTGAGTGGCAAACTGTCCCTTGTCCCCAGGATGGCTGGATGGGGAAGAAATCCAGAGAGAGCCGCCGCGGTGGAAGGCAGGCCGAGCCCACGCCACACCCAGGGCTCAGGCATGTGGTGAAGTCACAAGTCCTGCTCTGCTCCCTGCAACTACTTTTGCAAGGCAGGGGGTGAGCCAGTGGTTTTGTCTCTCAGTGGAGGCAGCAGTTGGCAGGAACATACACCCTTCAGGGCTCAGGGGCCGGGTTCTGTGCTGGTAGCAGTGCTCCCATCCTGGCAGGGACCGCACTGAAGCAGGTGCAGGGGTCCAGGCCTTCATGAAGCACTCCAAGGCAGTTAGTGGGCTTGGGGAGATGACTTCTGCACGGGCCCACCTGGTAAGGCTGTTTCCATCTGCCAGGAACCCCACCAAGCCTCTCTGAGCCTTTGTAGCTGGAGCATCTACAGTCCCCGAGCACAGCCCCAAGGCAGGGAATAGGAGACCAGCACGTGTGGACTGAAGCAAGCCCGTGTTCCAGGCAGGCAGGGTGACGGACCCGGATCAACATGGAAGCAGACACAGGCTTGGGTGCGGTTGCCTGGCCCTTGCCCCCGCAGCCTGGGGTGTGTGTGGTGCTAGTTCCTCAGGTCTGGCTGTCCTCTCGCCAGTGTCACCCACAGAAGCAGTTAAGACCTTCAGCAACATCCCAAATCTGGATTGGCTCCAGACTAGGACTTCATCTTGGAGAGAGGCGAGCAAAAACGTCCTGTCTCTACTTACTGATAAGCAGCAATTTGTGTCCACACAGGTGCCTGTGTCTGCGACAATGCAGCCATCCTCTGCTCTCTGGACTCTCCCTTGGATGCCTCTGAGGACACGTAGATGCCTGGGTGCACCTCTGGGGTGGGGGCAGGCGTCAGGGGCTGTCAGAGCTCCTGGAAGGTTCCAGCTGCCAGCCAGGGCCAAGACCCCATGGGATCCTTCTTACCAGCTCCTCCCAACTGTGGGGCAGGCACTGGCTGCGCAGCTTCTGGGCAGTCCTGTCTCCCCAGAAATGTACACCAGTGCCCAGTGGTTGGTCACAGCCATGGTGGCAGCCGACCCAGGGTGATCTGGCATTCTGCCAGCCTAGCTCCCCCTCACACAGTCCCAGGGTAAGTGTACTCCTGCCGGCTCCCAGATGGGAAAACCAAGTCCAGAAAGGCTTAAGTCTTGGCAAGCAGCGTGCCTAGCGTGGGGGTGGGGTGGGGGCGCTGGGCTGCAGCCTGGGCACTTGCTCCTGAGGCCACATGCTGGAGCCCCTTGGTGCTGCCCCCTTGTTCCAGCTCAGGAGCTGTGAGGCCCATCCTTGCCTCCATGGGGTCCGGGAACCTGGCTGAGATGCGCTTCAAGTCCAGAGTCTCACGTGGATTCACGTTTTAGGCATGTTTCCTGTCAGTCCTGAGTCCAGTAGGGGCTGTCCCAAGGGGCCCCACCTTGTGCTCCTGGGAAGGGTTAGTGAGGTGCTTGGCACAGAGCAGGGAGAGGCCCCAAGAGGGTGGCTGTCACTGGAACCCCAGCTAGACATCCGGGGTCCGGGAACCTGGCTGAGATGCGCTTCAAGTCCAGAGTCTCACGTGGATTCACGTTTTGGGCATGTTTCCTGTCAGTCCTGAGTCCAGTAGGGGCTGTCCCAAGGGGCCCCACCTTGTGCTCCTGGGAAGGGTTAGTGAGGTGGTTGGCACAGAGCAGGGAGAGGCCCCAAGAGGGTGGCTGTCACTGGAACCCCAGCTAGACATCCAAAGGAGGCCCAGAGAATGTGCTGGAGAAGTGACCTCCCAGGGGGACCCCAGGCCGCACACCCTCCGCAGACCCCGCAAACCTGTCCGATGGGCCTGCACTGTCCTCCTTCCACTGACGAGGGACGCCTTTGGAGAGAAGCAGCTGTTAGAGCAAACTGAGCAGAAACTTTGCCATGGTTAACAGAAGATGGAGATTGCCAAGAACAAGAATCCTTTTAGGTTTAGAACTTTTTTATAAAACTCAAAAATCAAGAGAAAACAAATCTTTAGGGGCAAGGACTGCCCAGCAGCGCTGAGGCGGGAGGGCGGTGGGTGGACCGCTCTGCTCTGCTGCAGCCTGAGGGCCGGTGAGGCTGGGGCTTGTGCTGGGCGAGGATGGAGACGGGCGCCAGCACACAGGCAGCTGGTCTGGGGCAGTGGGCAGGAATCGGGGACTCTAACCGATCCCTCCCGTGCCCCTCCCACCCTTACACATTCCACGAGGGACTCTGGCCTGGGCCACGGGTCCCCTCGCTGAGCCGGCACAGACCCAGTGCCTCGCGCGTCCACGTTGCACGCCTGCTAACAGCCACCGCTCGGTTGGTCTTGGTTAAAGCACTTCAACGCTTTGAGGTTTAAAAACAATACCATCCATGTTTTTAATGTAATATAGTGCTTCTTCAAGCAGTATTAATGGACCTGTTCCAATGATATTAACTTTTTTTGGTAATGTAATCTTGGGAAAACATGTTATTTTTTTAGCTGTGTTTTGGTGGGAACTTTTGTTTTTGTAACACAATAAAGCACATGTTCCAATGACTGGCTCTCATGGCTAAGCTGTCCTGCACAGGCTGGGAATGAGTAAATCCCCAGGTGCCTGGACACAGCTGCCGGTACGAAAGGGCAGCTCCTTGCGGGCAGGAGGCACACAGCCCTCTGCGCCTGGCCCAGGCGGCACCAGCTGAGTCTGTCTGCATCATCACTAAGTCTGATGGGCCCCGGGGGATCCCTCTGCCCAGAGCCTCAGAGGACCACCTCTGGAACTGACCAGGCTGTGCCCCAGCCCCCTCAGGCCTCTGGAGGGGCAGGCCCCAGACCCCTCATCCAGCCCCATGAGGCCTGGGTTCCCTGACTTCAGGACACACAGGGTGCGGCTGTGTCGCACACAGCTGTCCGCAGGTGAGCACAGTCACATTTCTCAGCAAAGCTGACAGAGAACCTCACGTCGGCTTGCATCAGGCTTTGCGGCCATGCAGGCTTCACCGTGGTTCTCTTGGTTCTCAGTATCAGCCTTGTGGATAAGGGTTGGTGACCTGTCACAGTGAAAATAAGGCTCTAGAAACCCGTTCAACCTTGAGGGAGTGTTACCAAACCAGACTTGGGTCCGCTCACCCAAGCACAGCTGAGCCACGACATGGACACGGGGCTGCAGCGAGGGAAGCGAGGCCTTAATTGCAAGAACAAGACATGGAGGTCGGGCAGCTGAGCTGAGAAAATGCCGGTCTCCCGGAGAACCCACAGGCCGGAGTCTCTGGAGGGAAACGCTGGGGGTGGGGCAGGGGCTGCCAGGTGGCCGGCGGATGCTTCTCACTGGCGAAGTCTCCGGGACCCGCAGCACCTGTCAGCCTCCGCTTACCACTCACCTGCCTCCTGTCAATCTGGGTTCCTGGCAGTCCACCTCTGATCAGCACATTCCAAGGGCTGTGAAAGTTCTGGGGCGTTTGTCCTTGTAAAGACACCTCCAGAATACGTGTGAAGATAATGTCCTGTATCCCGGGAACTCAGTGCCTGTTTCATGGCCCTTCTTATCACTTAGTTTTTTAAAAAAACAGGGTATGAGAAGTACAATTATTTTCAAATATATAAAAACATCTCCCCCCCCAAAAAAAATCTCTGCTATGTCTGATGTATAATTTTAAGACAAGCTGGATTCAAGCAGATCTGCACTCTGCAAGGCACTGTCCTGCACAGGGTCATCCCATTAGTGACTCCTAAAAAGAGAAGAGAAGGCCTATTTTCCCTTGGGGGAAAAACAATCAGTTCATTCCCCCACTTACACCAAAAGAGAAAGTGTCTATATTGAGGCAAGAAGAATAAAGTGGACTTTTTGTGTGTGTGACCGGTAAGGGGATCGTAACCCTTGGCTTGGTGTCGCCCATACCACGCTCAGCCAGTGAGCGCACCAGCCATCCCCATATAGGATCCGAACCCGCGGCCTCGGTGCTCCCAGCGCCGCACTCTCCCGAGTGAGCCACGGGGTTGGCCCATAAAGTGAGCCATCCCCATATAGGATCCGAACCCACGGCCTCGGTGCTCCCAGCGCCGCACTCTCCCGA